TCTCTCCTTCTTCTGGAGATAATCTCTAATGTTCACAAAAGAAATGTCAAGGAACACACTTTCATATGCCATGCACCCTAAAAACTGTTTGAATACCTTAAAGGATCTCCTCATTGCCATAAACCACACTGATAAGACTAACATGGAAGTCATTTCCTTGACTTGTTTTTGTCCCAAGAAAATGCTTTGTAAACACAATGTAATACCATAAAGGCAAGAAAACCACCAAGAAAAAACTCTTAATTGTGTATTCCTGATTGCATTCAGTCTCTTAATAGAAGGTAGCCTCTTACAGAATTATGTTAGCTACTATAACTAGCTAAATAATTCAAAGAAGACATAAATCAAGAAATCTATTTTCAAATAAAGGAAAAGAAAGTCACCAAAAAAGATTTATGGCAGTACCACATCTGATGAAAGCAGAATAAAAACAATATCCAGAAATTCTTAATAATGGCTATGATGATGTCATATCTTAGAATAATATTAGAGATTTATAACTAGTCAAATCTGGTTGTGCATATTTCCTAAGTTCAACAGTTAAAAGCTGATATTAACATTATAACAATCTTGACATAGTAAAATATTGAATCCTTCCAGTAAAAACTGTTAAAACACAACCCAGAAATGCAATGTATTATTTTTAAGACAGAAAACATTAATGTATTTCCAAATAAATCAGGGAGAATTTTTAACTATAAAGGAATGCAAAAATGTTAAGGGTCTTTTAAGGGCAGAGAAAATTTCCCTCCAAGGCAGTAATATCATTTGTTAGATGCTACATTAATAGCTAAAATATGTATTTTACATGTGTAGATATTCTGGGGGGAATGGGGTTACATTACTTATTTTGCATTTGACTCTGAATGAAGTTTTACAGCCCGAAAGTACAATATTAAATGTAGCTTTTTAAAACCCCAATTTAATCCATAAAGGAAAAGTGGAAGCACAGCATAACGATTATGTATACACAATTCAATACAAATGTTAAAAAGCAATTTAACATGTGTGCTTCAACATAAGAATTCAAAAAATACTCAATCCCACAAAACAGAAAGGCAGGATTTTTACACTAAATAGCCCCATCACAGTCATAGGAAACAGAACAGTATTCCCATTCCTTTCAATCTCAATTATCCAAGGCAAAAGATATTTAGGGGAAAAATACATTTTAAAGGAAATGAATTTATAAGAATCTAAAGAAGAAAAATCTTTACATTTTAGGAGTTGACCATGTTAAATGTAAATCAATGTGGGTAGTCTCACCATCACATTCTAAGTACAGCTCAGAAGAACTTGGGTCACACAGACATTTCAAGTAGGTTTATGCCAAGACATGCTAAAAGTGGTGATGATTTTAAAGTAATTCTCCTGTTAAGGCAAGTTCTTACACAAAATATGTGAACTGTTGCAAAATTTGTAAAATATCATAATTGTAAGAATAACTAATTCTAAGTATGATTTTGAAATATTTGCTTAACCAAGCCATATATCCTCTATATGGAATTTACCAGCTAATACAGCACAGTGTACCCAGCTGAAGAGATGCAGATCACATTGCTTAGAAATGTATTATTAACTATAGTCTCATTAGTTGAAGTGTATCATCTAATTTTCACTCTGGAGTTCCTGTGAAATATGCGATCATAAGTGTTATAAAAAATAATTCCTAAAAAAAATTTCCTATTACTGCTTAAATATACAATGGAATACTTACATAGAAATAAGCAAATACATTAAATTAAGCATGCATATTTTGGGGGCTTCCACTGTGCAAGCTAACAGTACTACTGGCCATCTTGCATACCCCTCTGAAATATTACTTATCAATTCCTTTTTCTAAGAGAATAATCAAACAATTCCCAATCTCCTTGAATTTACATGGCATCTTTGTATTATAGACTGCCATCTAAGAAACACCTTCTATTTCCTACCCGTTAAACTAGTTTTGGGTTCACCACAACTGCCACCTCATTTCTGTTAAGGCAACTATGCTATATTTCCATGAGTAATAAAACCATAAAATTTTAAAATCAACCATTAAAAAGAATATTAACATTCCAAAGAGATGAGTGAATTAATCTTTTAAATCAAATATGGAATGATATTTTCAAAGAAGATGTGAGGAAAGTTTCTTTTACTTTTCTGCATTCAAAAATGTTCAGATGCAGGCTTTTCTACTAAAGGGGTGGATTTGAAAACCATGTAGCTCTAATTCAACTGATACTATGTTTTTGAACTATGTTCTAAAACCAAAGTTAAACTCAATTTTTTTCCCCATGAAAACGGCTTTGCTTAATGTAGAAACTGGTAAAGAATCCCACCTACAATTCAGAACTTCTGAATAAAGATTTGGCAACCTGAAAAACAAGCACCTGAGTATAACTGGTCCTTACTGTCATTCAATACAGCAGCTGTTTGCTAGCCTAAATCAAGCTCTGCTTTCCTTTTTTTTAAACATCATTTGAGAAAAATAAACATCAAAAACAAAAAAAGCAACCCCTCCTTCCCCCAAAAAGAAGTCCAGGTTCTCTTTAGATAACTATGAGAACTATGTAAGTTGCTTGGCGTATTTGTATTGCTTTACTTGGAATTTTAACTTCTTGACATTAATGTTAGAGAAGTTTTATTTTATTATCACAGCTCTGGAAGAACAGACTAGGCCTAGTTTCCCACTGCTATACAAGCTGAACCCTCAGGGCTCTGTGTCTAAGAATCAGGATTTATTCCTCCCACCTCCACCCATTCTCCAAAAGGCCCCATGACTCTGGCTGGGAAAGACTGTGGCAACAAAGTTTCCATCCACTATTAACTTTTGCAGCTGCTCCATGAAACAGAAAACATCCTTCGCATCATCACTCATATCTATTCTGCCCATCTCACAAGTGTCAGATAAGCTTTTTTTTTTTTTCTTTTCAGAGAGTAGTTGATTTTAAATTAAGTTAAAACGAAGTATTTTGAAGATATGCATAATGAAAGACCTTCACTTACAGGAAAAAAGGTTAAAAACTATATATGTAACTTGCTCATTCACATCAAGTGAGCACATTTCATCAAAACACGTGGTATGCAGAAAGGCACAATATATCAAATAGCTAACCTAGCTCCTGAAAAAGAAAGAAAAAATTAAATTAAAAGACTATAGGGCTTCCCTGGTGGCGCAGTGGTTGAGAGTCCGCCTGCCGATGCAGGGGACACGGGTTCGTGCCCCAGTCCAGGAGGATCCCACATGCCGCGAAGCGGCTACGCCCGTGGGCCATGGCCGCTGAGCCTGCACGTCCGGAGCCTGTTGCTCCACAACGGGAGAGGCCACAACAGTGAGAGGCCCGCGTACCGCAAAAAAAAAAAAAAAAGACTATAATAACAAGAGAGGGTTCCTCCCTTAACAAATCATTTCAAGGATTTTAAATTGGAAGATTAGTTTTTCAATAAGGAAATCTTAGGTAATTTCAATTACTGAGTATAGTGGATTGAATGGTGGCCCCAAAGATATGTCCACATTCTAATCCCCGAAACCTATAGGTATTACCTTATATGACAAAAGATGTGATTAAGTTAAGGACCTTAAGAGTAGAAACATATCCTGGATTATGAGATAAATCCTAAATGCAATCATATGTATCACTGTAAGAGACAGGTAGAGGGAGTTTCGAGAGACAGACACATGGAGGATAAGGTGGTATGAACATGGAGCAGAGAGATGCAGCCACAAGCCAAGGAGTGCCAAGAGCCACCAGAAGCTGGGAGAGGCAAGGATGGTTTCTCCCTTAAGGTCTCTGGAGGGAGCACGGCCCTGCCTACACCCTGATTTCAAACACGTGGCTTCCAGAATTCAACTGTGAGAGAATAAGCCTCTGCTGTTTTACCACCAAGGTTGCTGCAATCTGTTACAGCAGCCACAGGACACTAATATACTGAGGGAAATTGTGTATTAAAAGAGTAGTTCTTAACCCACACAAGCTTAGTAAAAGGGAAACCCTATATTATAAATAAAATATATCACTGAGACACAAGATATAATGATATGGTAAGCCCAATTTTTATAGCTGAAACTTTGAAGCAAATTACTCTATAAAATTTTACATGTAACACTAACAGATATTGAGTGATACAGGGGGGCCTTATAAGCAGAAGTTTTACCTAATCTCTAAATATTCAGCTATGATAATAAAGTGCATTAAGCAAGAGATAGGGAAATAAATTAATTTTCCAAATCAAACTAAAAAGTGGCAGAAATTAAAAACAATTAAAATGCCTACAAAATACACGCAAGTAACTGTGGCTTCTGAAACTATACATCACTAAGTTGAAAGGATCCCACTATATGATCTGCTTGAATAGACAGAACCACCCAGAAACTGACAAAAAGGAAGAGAGTGACATCTGGGGAACTGTAAGTTACACAGGCCATAAAACTGGGAAGAGGTCGTTTGAAAAAAAGAAAACAATAAATCTTTACTATCTGACAGCCACCTGGTCATTCTGAGACTTGAAAAAACCTAACTTCAGGGCTTCCCTGGCGGCGCAGTGGTTGAGAGTCCGCCTGCCTATGCAGGGGACACGGGTTCGTGCCCCGGTCCGGGAAGATCCCACATGCTGCAGAGCGGCTGGGCCCGTGACCCATGGCCACTGAGCCTGCGCATCTGGAGCCTGTGCTCCGCAACGGGAGAGGCCACAACAGTGAGAGGCCCGTGTACTGCAAAAAAACAAAAACAAAAACCTAACTTCAATATCATCACCTTTAAAACTGGGATAGTGTCTACCTATCTCATAGTGTTAATAGCCCCTTCACAGGTTATCATGAGGATGAAATGAGATTACACACAGTGATGGGCCATGGTTTGGGTCACAAACTAGCTGACAGTTAGAAAACTAACTATACTTGCTTTCTGAATAAAAAACTTCGGGGAACAGTTATCAGATTAAAAAAATTGAAAAACGTTTTAAAAGCATTTGGAGCCTCCTCCATTCCGCTGATATCTGGGGGTCCCAGTACTTACCACATCACTAGCACTGGAGAATTCATTATTAACCAGACTTTCAAGAGCCATCCACCGAACCGGCCTGTTTTCGTTGTCTCCTAGACAATGATAGTCCATAGGGAACAAGTCTCTGGAGAGGGCATTGTCTGTGATCTTAACTTGAAGTGTGTCATCAATGCTGAAAAGTAGATATGAACATCAAATACAATTGAATACTGAAAAAATATGGACCACAATCACTCATAAATACAACACAGTTCCCACTGTGACTCCTGGAGAGAACCCAAATTCAGGGAACACTAAATATCAAATGACAGTGACAAGCTTATGGCACCTACACACAGTTCCTAGCAGCCAGGTCTTTGTGGATGACTTCCCTTCTGGCCAGATAGCTCATTCCACAGGCAATCTGAATAGCCATGTGGACCAGGTCTTGTTGAGAAATTGCCTGTAGTAACAGAAAGTGACAATGTCTGCAGTTAGCACAAAAACTTTGATGGTAGTTATTTTATTCCACAATCTTACTCCATCCCAAAATACATCTACACACTAAGTTTTAAAAAGCTACTTCTTGACCAAGAACATGTTCCCATAGCTTCCTATACTTATACCTACTACAGTCCTTATCATTCTGTACCGTAATTTACCATTTACTTCACTCTCATCTGTTAGGTGTATCTCCCCAACATCCAGCATATACAGTAGCAGCTAAATAAACATCTGTTCAACGAATGCTGAATTCTAAGGGTAATATTTCAAATGTTTATTATTCAATAACTTGTTCTTTTCTTTTACAATATTAAGCTTTTATTAGGAGGTTACCCCCCGGGGACCATTTTCAAACTAATGCTAGTTTACAGCTCTCTCTGATGTGCTCCTCTAGAGCTAATGTGCCAGGACTGTAGGTTGAGGAATGAAATTCTTCTCCAGGTGATGCTGGTGGGCTCTGGCTGCCAACCACTTGCTGGAAACCCTGGCTACCAAATTATCACCGACAATCTACACCTCCAGCTACCACCAGCTTTTTTTTTTTTTTTTTTTTGTACAACATGGACCAAATGGCTCTGTAAGGTCTATTTCCATTCCTAGAAGGGAGATCTAGTACAAGTACCTTCAAAGAGTTATGAGGAAAATGACTGAGATGGTGTCACAGAGGGTTTGAGGTGATTATGAATAATACACAATGGTTATACACGGAAAACCTTCAGCATCAGCAGAGTGTAAGCCTCAAGACAGGAATCACAAACCATCTCTCTCTAAATCAACAGATTAGCAATATCTTCTGGTTCAACCTTGAGTTTCTTTTTACAGGCTTCTAAACAGTTTATATATAGGAATGTTAACATCTGCCTTCAAAGATATTAGAAGCTACTGGTAAATAATTGGTATGTGGGCAAATATTTCTCACCTGTGGATTATTGGCCTCTACTAATTTGCACTGCCGTAAAAACAATTTAAGATTCCCCCAATTCATGTAAGGCAATATCACCATAGGCTTTTCTCCTTCTTCTATACAGACATGGGTAATAGGAAGAAGATTTCTATAAAATAATAAAAAATCAGGAGAAACACAAGTGAAATCTGAAACTTCAGGGGGTTATTTTTAACAAAAAGTAATAAAATAAAGATAACCTAAAACAAAACAAGAAAATCTCAAACTTACTTAAAAACATAACCATTAAAAACGTAAAATTATAAATGCTCTTAGACTGGACTTTAATGTTTTCCACATACCCACTTTCTTGATAGGGAAAAATTATAAACTCAGAAATTGTTTCCTGTGGACTAGATTCTCTTAAGACACACTCTAGCCACACTAAATCTCTACTCTAAAGGGTAATAAAAGGGACCTAAAAAATGAGTTGATCATGAGCATATGATAACAGCCCATTTGGTTCATTATCACGCTTAAAAAAGAAAAAAAAAAAAAAAGGGCCCCAACGCAAGTCTGCAGAAAAGAATATGATAATCAAGAGCATGAAACTGTCACAAAAAGCCAAGAAGTTCTTAGCAGGTCACATGGGATTTCTAAATCCTAAATTTACCATTTACTGTCTGTGTGACCATCTCTCTTGGCCTTAGTTTCCATACCTCTAACATGGGGATCCCACCAGCCATACAATGTTGCTGTGATATACAAATAAGGCCAAGCATGCAGTAAAAAAAAATCTTGTTCCTTTTAAAATCTCCATGGCACACATACTTTCATCCTATTGCCTAATGACACCTCTTCCATCGGTACCTGGAAATAACCGTTAATTTTTCCCAAGGCTATGTAACTTTTTACATAATTACCTCATTTCCCCCACTAAGCTGAAAATTCCTAGATGGCAAAAACTAAAGTGAACTCCTTTTTTACACCCAATGCTTTGTATTCTGTGCCACAGAAATAAGCATTTAATAAATATTTGGTAAGTAACACCAAACAACAAGCTGAAAAACATTCCTCCTCCTTAACTTGGAAAATTCTGCCTCTAAGGATATTAATAAGGAAATATTATTAAACATATGAAAGCTATATGAACAAGGATAGTTAATGCAGTATTAATAGTAAAAGCTGCAAACAACAAGGCTGTCCAAAAGTAAGGAAGTACAGCCAAATAATAGGATAGTATATAACAATTAAATAGTCACAAAGGGATGTTACAAGAATATGAGTAAAAACTTACTTATAGGAAAGCAAGATACAAAATTCACATATGCTTGCAGGATAATTACAAGTATGGGGGCAAATACAACTCTGCACAGAAGTATGCCAAGAGTTGTTTTTGAGTTGCGAGACTTTAGATCATTTCTACCTTGCTTTTCTGTATTTCCTAAATTGTCTCAATTGAGTATGTATCTCTTTTAAAACCACAGTCACACGATTCTGGCCTAACAGTGCAGAAGTGAAAGCTGTGGGGCCCCCCGCCTGCTGTGCAGGAGTTACTAACAGGGAAAGCACTGACCCTGAAGAGCCGGGAAAATGAGGACTCAGAGATCAGTAAACCTGTATGCGGCAACTTCTCTGTAAGGCTTCTGCTTGCCTTACAGCCCAAGAGTGGCAGTGATGATTAGTCCCACTTTACAGGCGAGGGAATCCATGAAGGTGGTAAGGGGTGAGGTAATTTGCCAAGGACAAACAGCCAGCACATAGTGGAAAAAATTCAAATCTTCATCTGATTATAAAAACCTTGTGTTTTCCACTGGATCACTGGACATTCCCTCCCAGGGGAGCAAGACAGAGCCTCTTTTCACACCAAGACCCACACATACTAAAATGATTAGAGCACGAGGATGGAGGGAGGGGGAACTGGAGGAAGGCAGTCAAAGGTACAAACTTCCAATTATAAATAAGTACTAGGGATGTACTGTACAACCTGACGACTATAGCTAACACCGCTGTGTGATATACAGGACAGTGGGTAGGAGAGTAAATAAATCCTAAGAGCTCTCATCACAAGGAGAAAATTTTCTTTCTTCTTTCTTTCCCTTTTATTGTATCTATATGAGAACATGGACGTTAGCTGAACCTACTATGGTAATCATTTCACAATATATGTAAATCAAACCATCATGCTGTATGTTTTAAACTTATACAGTGAGGTATATCAATTATTTCTCAATAAAAGTGGGAAAAAATGACTACAGCAGGTGTGGACTCAGGTTTAACTGAACCTACCATGATTTCAGGAGTAATATGAAGAGCTGCCCAATCTCTTTAACCCTCCCAAAATTATTTCTCTGCACCTTTCCTCATGACTGAAATTCACTGAGCAAAGTTAAAGGAATCTGACCCAAACACAGGAAGTTTGCTGGATGAGATCAAATCACTTATTCTATCACCAGAGGATTAAAAGCCCTCCGGGAGAAGTAACAAGCTGCATGAAAATGTTTCAAGGAATAAATGGCTGCTCTTCATTCTGCCCAGTTTATAAAGGAAAGGAAGATAAAGAGGAAGATATGGGATCCATAAGAAGAGCGGATGAGGCAGAAGCAGGTGCTATAGAGGAAAGGCAGGTTCTGCAGGGACTTGAGGCAAGAACTGGTCCAGTTCTCAGTCTTGCCGAGCGTGCCTGCAGAGTGAGAGCCATGAGGCATTCAGCAAAGTGCCCATCATCAGGCACCCTTGGGCCAGTGGAGAGTCAAACTACAAGCAGAAATAGCTTGAGTACTTGTACTTTTTATAAAGCATGTCTGATGGAATTTAAATAAATCAACAGCTATCTTTTATTTATACAGCTATTTTAACTTATAATAAAAATTATTCTCAAAAATTCCAGTGGAAAAAGGAATGAAAAGAAAGAATTTCAAGATGCTTTAAAATATTTCAACACTTTAAAACTCTTAATCATGGAATGTTAAAACATGAAGTAAACATGATGAATTACATACCAAAACTAGTTTTTTAAAAAAGGTAAAATCAGAAACTAGATGTCATTTCTTGCTGAGTGTATTGAGTTTGCTTGATAAATTCTATAATATGATCACTGAAGATCATTATTTCTTTTTTAATTTTTTTTGCGGTACGCGCGCCTCTCACTGTTGTGGCCTCTCCCGTTGCGGAGCACAGGCTCCGGACGCTCAGGCTCAATGGCCATGGGTCACAGGACCAGCCGCTCCGCGGCATGTGGGATCTTTCCGGACCGGGGCACAAACCCGTGTCCCCTGCATCAGCAGGTGGACTCCCAACCACTGCGCCACCAGGTAAGCCCATTATTTCATTTTTAACCCTCATGCCTAGCAGTGTTCCAAGTGCAAAATGGGCACTTAATGAATGAGAACGTATGCATACACAGAGCCATGAACAGTCTAGACATCAGGGGTCAAAAGAAATGTGTCATAGGCCCTAGTCCCCTTAAAAATGAAATAAATTGCTACAGTGAGTAGAAAGAACCATATACTTTCTACATATTGACAATGTGTTTTGCTCATTAAAAACCAGGAGTCCTGGTATGACTTTATGATGAGGAAGAACAATTAACCAGGATCAAACCATAACTTGCCTTTAGAAGACATTCCCTAATCACTGAACGTACAGTAACAAATAACCCTAATTCAGTATAAGTCATCCCATTCCACCACCTAAGTGTATCCTGGGGCTACTAATTCATCCTAGTTGGATGCTGGAAAATCCTATAGCTTAAAGCTGCCTGAGAAAATGCTGCAAATGCTTGCTCTGAACATTTTTCAGCCAAAGCACCTTTGGGCTACTGTGGATATAAAACTGCTTCTTGAGAAAATCCTGGCTTTGTCTATACCCCTGCCACCCACTTCTGTGCTGATGTGGTACAGACCTTTCATCAAGGTAAGAATACTAGCTAAGTACCTAAGTACTAGGTTAACATTACATACTAGTATTAAACACTCTGGTTCTTCCCACTAGGGTCAGCATAATAAATCAAGTACTCCGAACATTGTCAAAAAGGACATTCCCAATTGATCATTACCCAGTTCTTGCTTTGTTACTCAGAGGAAACAAAATGTGTGTTTTTTTTTTTTTTTAGAAAATATAGTCTAAAGGGTCAGTTATCTATCCATTCCTCTGCAAATGACTTCTATTCTTGGAATGAATCAGTGAATCAGGTCAATGGAAGGTAACATTCTTAAATCACATGACTTTAACCCTTCAAAAGGACATCTTTAGTCCCTCATTACTGTGTGGTCAATTTTTTTCAGAGGTCTCTGGCTTTTTTATTTTCAATGAAACTAAAAAGTACATCTGTTCATTGTCTTAATCAATGTCCCAAGTATATGATAAAGCTAATGACATCTGTCCCAGAATGTGAAACCAGAAAAAGTTTTCTCCCCAAGAAACATGTACATTTCCTTCCATTCTAATACTGAGATGTATCAAACTTTGTTTCCTTCAGCCTTGCTTGCCCAGAAGCTAAGAGTTGTTTTATGTTCAATCACAGTAAAAATAATTGTCTCCTTAATGTTGGCTTATTTGTCTTCTTTTCCACCATCACAATGCCAAAAAACTCAATTTCATTTTCATTACCATTTTATTCATCTTACTATAGCTGCCTTCTTTTTAGGTTCTCAAATTCTTTTGACTATGAACCAAAGTATAAATAAAATTCAAAAATAAAACTCTGCATAGTCATCTTATTTTTTGGCAGAACTCAAGTAACTGCTCAAAGTACACAGAAATTACAATGCATAATGTCTTTTGCACACATCGCTTTCTATCTTTTTTTTCCAGAAGTCCATAAATATCTTCCAACAATGATGGTCACCATTCCATTTTTTAAACATATGTGATCAAATTTTCAGTAGGCACACAAATTAAGCTGTCTGTATAGTGCTTTAAAACAACAACAACAAAAACCTTGCCCAAATATTGATACTGCACATTGTGATACTATAATTACGCCCTTTTTGGCTCAGAAGATAGAATCTCTTATTATAGCTCTGTGAAAAGGGCTGATATAAAGCTTTTTTAAAAAGTTCTTCATATACAGAACTGTAAGTATTTTTTAAAAATCATACTGCAAACTAATGATAAGAGACTGGTTAAATAAAATGTGGTGCATCCATTCAATGAACTACTATGCAGTCTTTTTAAATGTGGATGTGAATTTATAGTTACTTACATGAAAAGTTAGACACATTGTTTTGCCATATATCAAGAAGTGTGTTAACCTTGTTAAAGATAATGGTATTGTGATTATATAGAAAAATGTCCTCAACTTTTTGGAAAATGCATGCTGGAAATGCATTGAAAGTGCTAAGATATCCAATTTAGTTTAAAATATTTCCACACTTGCAAATATCTATCTATATCTACCTAAATAGATGATAGATACATAAACATGCACAGCAAAAATGGCAAATGTTAACCACCAATGTATTCAGGAGGTGGGCTTACTGGTGTTTATTATTCTTTTCTTTGGTACTCTACATGTTCAACATTTCATAACAAATATTTCTTAGCATATGTATATCATTATCCTACTTTTTAAAGGGAAAGATGCACATAAATATAAACTCTTTCCTGAAAGCTCAGCTATAATTATCCAGATGTGGGCTTACATACTCTTCTTTATATTTTACTGTATTTTAAAATTTTGTGCAATGAGCATGCATTTCACTTTTATATTCAGGAAAAAAACAAATTAAGCTATTCCAGAAATGTTTTCTATTAACAGCACATTACAACATTCTTAAAAATGTAGCATACAATGCTACCATGCTTAACACAATGCTGGGTGGTTTCTCCTCTCACCTGTGATGAAGACCTCGTAGCTTACAACTTTCAGTGAGCATCATTGTCACCTGAATTTCAGAAGCTTGATCTACATAAAGAAAAAGACACTGTCATATATAGTATGATAATATTATACATATGACATCAATATTTTCTGGTATTAGTAAGTAACTATCTCAAACTGTATGGTAAATTTCATCAAAAGTTACAGGCAAATCTAAATAGGTCTAGCCTAAAATTCTATTGTAGTAGATAGAGTCTCATTGACAAGGTCAACATTTACAGATGCCATTAAGGATAAGTTTGACTACATAAAAATCAGAAACTAAGTAAGGTTCCAGAAACAAAGCAGACAAAGTAATAACACTGGAAAAATATCTGTAACACATAAGGCATATAAAGGGCTGATTTCGTCTTTTCCCCCCTTCTTTAAAGAACTCATACGATAAGAAAAAAATCTGAAAAAGAGGCAAAGGATATTAACATATAGTTTACTAAAAAAACAACACAAATGACCAGGAAAATTAAAAAAACGACTTTCTGCTTCATTCCTCAGTAAAGAAATGCAAATTAAACGAGGAGATGCCATTTTCCTCATCAGATTGGAAGAGACAAAAAAGTCAGCTACCTGTCAGTTTGGGCAAGAGTGTGAGGAAACAGGCTCATCCACAGTATCTTGGGTAGGTGGGGGAAACAACATCTAACAAAATTTTTAATACCTTTTACCATCATCAATCCCACTGCTAAGAGTCTACTCATAAAAGCTCATCTATATATAACATAACAAGAATACTGTTCAATTATAACAACAAAACAACTCAAAACAACCAAAGACCAAAGTGCCCATCACAGAGAACTAGTTAAATTAGCATGTAAGAATAATATGCAGCTACCTTAAGAAAAAAAAGTCAGATTTACATGTACTGACAGGAAAATCTGCAAGACATATTAAATTTTAAAAGCAAGATGAAAAACTGTGTTTGTGCGATCAGTTATATTTCAAAATCAAATTTATTTGGAAAATTAGATATATTTGGCTGTGTTTTTCTTCTTACTCACAGAGGGAATCATAGGAAATTGTTTACGGTGGTTACTTTTAGAGATGCGAGAATTTACATTTTGCACCTTTCTGTCCTGTTTAAACTTTCTAACCTTACAAACACAGAATTAGAAAAAAATGACCACAGGAGTTCTGACTGGAGATTGTGGTGCATTTTATTGTTTTCTTCTTCTTACCTCTATGTGGTTAAACAAACAAAAAGAACTACTATTATATTGGTAGAAAAAGATTTAATTTTCATATAATAGCCCAAATTAGCATGATTATTCCATTTTATTTTTAGCTTCTGAACTCATGGTTTTTGGTCCAGGTAACAAACAGAACTAAAATTGGCTTTTAGTTCAATGTTTTTGAAATAAAACATGATAATGCAATTTACCAATATCTTTAGTCTGCACCTTCAAAAGAATTTGAAGCCATTAAATATTTGCACAAATCTACAAGGATGCCTTCTCTTATAGGGACCACTATTTTAATAAGTATAGAAGATTTTCTCCCCTGTCTGAAAAGAACATTTCCATTAAGTGAATAGTATATTTTCATTATAAAATTGAATATGAGTTTTAATTTTTTTAAATGGTTTTTAAATATCAAAAACAAAATTAACAGTATACCCTTAAAAATACTTTCAAAGAAGCCAATAATAGATTTGTATGTCAACAATTTAAAAAATCGTAATAATAATTTATAGATCTTCTGATCAATGCAGTACGAGGCAGAAGAAGATAGAAAGATGGGCAAAGCCAAGATCCACCTCCCAGCCCTACCTAGTAAAATGCTAAACCAACAGTAAAATCCAGACCTCTAAACTCAGGCACCATGATTATACACTCATTCCTTAAAAGTGGAGCTGTCAAAGCTGAGAAATAGTAAATTTCATTTACTTCCAAGACTAACCCGTGGAATCACTCCCTCTCTCATTACGTGATATTAGTGTTCCCTTTCCAGACAGCTTCACTTAGTTAAAACTTTTGTAGGAATACAAAATGGGTAGACAAAAAGCCAAGGACTTGGAATACTTGCTACTTCTTTGAAAAAGCACTTTACCTCAATGTCTGCTGAAATAAACTCTAGTTGTTTAAAAACTGCTTAAAATTTAGGAACATTTAGTAAATGGCAGAATATACCTTTTTACTCTTTCTGTAATCTAAATATGTGGCCTCTCCCGTTGCAGAGCACAGGCTACGGACGCGCAGGCTCAGCAGCCATGGCTCACGGGCCCAGCTGCTCCACGGCACGTGGGATCTTCCCGGACTGGGGCACGAACCCGCGTCCCCTGCATTGGCAGGCGGACTCTCAACCACTGCGCCACCAGGGAAGCCCTGGAAGGATCTTTTTGGAACTGAAAACTAGTAATAGTCGGAGGTCTGTACCCATTTGGTAAGAGTTTACCTTCTTGTCAACTGGTGCAGAGATCCAAGTAAAATGAAAGGTAATTTCAGGATGTGTCATTTTTTGCATAATTTTTTAAGTTTTTAACTTTGATAAGCATGTTCTATTAAGCCAGGGACACTTCAGCTGGATAATGAGCTAAGGAAACTTTGGAGAAAAAATAATTTTATACATTTAGTAAGAAAAAATCATTTTCCTGGATACCTTACCCAGTCTGGTCCTAGTCTTATAATTTTAAATACTGAAAGGTCTATCTTTAAGATGTATATATTTGAAAAGAATACTATACAATAATTTACATTCTAAAAGTTACAAGAACAAAATGATTTTTACAAAACCCTACTTATTTCTAATTTGTAAAAAATTAGAAGCTATAAAAAAAACAAGAACTTAATACGAATAACCTCAAATTAATTCATTTATTTCATGGAATTCAATTTCACAATATTCACTGTGTGAAATTCAGATTCCTAATTTCAATCTCTGGAAATTTATATTGGGATATCCATTAAGTCTCTGTGAAAAATGATAACTTTTAAGAAGCCAAACTCCAATTTCCTGCTTATGCCTAAAGGCAAAGGTAGGGACTTCCCTAGTGGTGCAGTGGTTAAGACTCCACGCACGCTCCCAATGCAGGGGGCCCGGGTTCGATTCCCATCAGGGAACTAGATCCCACATGCATGCCACAACTAAGAGTTCACATGCTGTAACTTAGAGTTCGCATGCCGCAACTGAGGAGTTGGCGAGCTGCAACTAAGGAGCAGGTGAGCCGCAACTAAGGAGCCCATCTGCTGCAACTAAGACCTGGTGCAACCAAATAAATAAATAAAATAAATATAAAAATAAATAAGTTAAAAAATAAAGGTAAAGTAACTGATCTTTTAAAAAATTATTTTTGCATTTTTAGCTGTACTTCTAATTGTATAGCATGTAACAAAGCATACATATTTGTGAAAGAACTTTGTCAACTCTACGTAGCTTCAATTAAAAAATAACATTCCAAAAGAATAAATCTCAGAGACACTCAATCATGTGGAGTTATCTAACAATTTTAAAGCAAATACCGTGGTCAGTGCACTTCCTCTGTGTTTCCCACGCAAATCATGACCACATCTTGGCTAAGGACTCACTATGCTTTCTCTTGTTTCCGTCTAGCTCAGAGAGAACATTATAATTACAGTGGTAAGACAGAGAAACAAGCAAGTGACTACAATTCAAAGGTACACGGAAAGAGAAATCTTATCTTGTGAAACAGTCCCAGTATCTGCATTGTGTTTTCTTATCACTATTATTTCCTTTCCCCCCATTTCCAATCCTAAATCAACCCAATTCTATACAGAAACCTCTTTTGTTAATTCAACATTCCTTCAGAACAAATTAATAATATCCCAGTTCTAAATTATCCATAGAATATTTACAAACCCCAGAAGAAATATTAGAATTAAGGGGGAATGTTTCCTTTAAAAAATGGAGAAACTGTAACAAAAGGCAGACATTATTAAACTTAGGGCTCAAATTTTACATCTACAAAGAGTAATATGTAAAGTATCCTTCAAAACTAGTCAGAAAACCTAGTGGGACCAAACCTAAAATTCAATCTTTAGAAGTGTTTTGGGGTTAGGAGAAGTGAATGAATAAATTCATTTTATTAACTGTTAACTTACTTAACAGTAAGTTAAACCATCTGTTTAGAAAGAAGAAAGTGTTTGTAGCATCCTTAAACAAGCAATTTTGCTAAATTAAAAGAAAATTCCAAAGTTTTTTTTTGTTAGATTAGTACAACCCAACTTTTTAGAAACAATAAACACAAACCTTTCATGCTTCCTAAGAATTCCTTTAACTAAATTTAGAAACATAAGTTCTTATAAATTAACTTTGTGAACTTCACAAAATTGTCACCTCCTACTCATAAAACTGAATTTAATTTTGCCCTCAATTTCTGCATTTGGAATGCTAAATTTGTTTTTCCAAAATTAATAACTAGTTATTTCAACTTACATCAGACACTGTCAGACATTAAGCACTCTTTAAATTACATTTTCTCTCTTAAAATGAGCAAATAGACTTACCTAAGAATTACTGAAGCTTTTACAAAGCTTAAATATACAAATCAATTATAAATCATTAAAATTCTAATATTATAAAAGGACTTGCTAATTTACCAGTATTAGGCAATAAGCCATATAAAAACATATTCTAGTATATGTTGATAGGGAATCTCTAACTGAAAATTTTATATAAATCAGTAAGTGAAAAATTAAGCATCACATTTCTCCAAAAGGAGAATATGTGAAAATAGGTATTCTGTTCATGAAAATATAAACTATCACTACCTTTTAGAAAACAATCTGGCAACAACTATCAATATTTTAAATGTAAACACCTCGTGGGGCAGCAATTCCAACTACAGCTATACCTGCAAAACTCTACCAAGAAATAACACACACACACACACACACACACACACACACACACACAGCAAAAAAAAGGGAGGAGAGGGAGTGAGAGAAAGGCAAATAGCACCTATTCACATAAGGTTCAGTGGGTCTGGGGGTCATTTTTTTTCTTTATAAGTCCTCAGTATTGGGGGTGGAGGGGTGCTGAGATGGAGGGAAAACTACTATCAATGTTTTTTAAGAAGGAAAAACCAAAGAATTTTAACATAGGAAAAACATAATATTAGATATAGCAAAAATGAAGTCAAGTGGATGCAGTTTAATTAGAAGCCTGAGTAATATCTAATAAATATATAATGTCTTAATTTATTAGCTTCTATGTTCTATACCTTAACGAAAACAACACAAATCTCCTAAAAGGTTAGACTGTATGAGCTAAATTAACATGGACTGATTGATGATTAAGGTCTGGCACGCACTGAAAATCTGAAACAATTTTGCTGACATAAGCCACCTTAGACAGAAAAGCAGCATGGAAACAGAATGGGAAATAAAATCCTACCTTTAACTGTTTTTACAAATGCTTGTTTCTCCTTATTTGGATCTTTTTCATCTACTAAAATCCCATGGAAAATACGCCCAAAAGTACCTAAAAGGAAAAATAATTATTGAGATCATATGATAACGTTCATAAAACTATAAGTACAAAACTTTCTGGCACAATACAACTTAAACATAACAAGGGAAAATGTGATCAAAATTACTCCAGCCCTAGCATAAAAAGACTCAAATCTTTGTTTTTTAATGACTGTTAAAGGCTCTTTTTAACTACAAAATATCTTAACTTGCCTTTTGAAATACCAAATTTAAACTATATATGAGAATTCATTCTGAAATATCCTAAATAAACTAATGATATAGACAGGAGCACTGGAGCTCAGTAATGGGGTATCCGTAGAGACATTTATGAGTTTCTAGGCTTAGCCTCAGAGCAAAGAAAAAGGAGAAAAATGGACTCTCCTCATACGTTCAAAAACACCAAAAAAATCTGCTTCCATTAATTACTATTTGCCACTGGAGACAGTTCAAGCCCCTCCCTTGGCTGTGACTGACCTACAAGCATCTCAACCAAACAGATGAATTCAGAATGACTCACATGCATCCAAAACATTCCAAACTGAGTTATGGAAGGGGGGAAAAAGTAATTCTCTATTTAACAACTTGAAGAGTTCAATAAAGTATTTTATTATTAATTTCTGTCTTCTTCTTTCAGCATTCTCCCCAGTCAATACCTTGAAACTCAAAAAAGAAAGCAAGGACCAGCAAGAGGGGGAAGGGCAGGGTCCTATCTCTCAAACACCTATCATATGTTAGTTCATTTAATGAACATCAGTTCATCTAATCTTCATAACTGTCTAAGAGTAGACAACGGAGTCCAAATTTAGAGAAGAGAAAACTGGACATGGAAAACAGGAAATTATTTCCCCAAGGTCACATAGGTAATAAATTGTGGGACTGGGATTGGAAGTTGGGCACAACTCCAATCCTCATGCATGCGCCTTCTGCTAGAGCCCATACACTTTCCATCACAGAGAGAATTACTTAGAATGCTTCAAAGAGGCCTGCTAGGTAGTGATCACCTTCAGACAAGAACTAAACAGAAAATATACTTTAAAGGTGACAAACACTAATAATTATGCCTTAATATACTTGAAAATCAACAATTGCACCAAAGCTGTCCATATTAAGGCAAATTGAAAATCTAAAGAAAGGGAAAATAAAAATCAGTGTTATAGAGGAAACAAATTGTGCACTGCTTTCTATCCTTAAACTCAAAATGAGATGAAATTCTTAAATTCTGAAACAAAAAAATTTTTATACTACTAACATTTCTTCCTTGAAAACCTGATTTTGAGATAATAGATACCTTCTTGGAGTACATCTTTTAGAGTTATCCTCTCCCTGGATATTGCGATATCCTTCACCTTAGCTTTGGCCTCCAAAAGAGTGACACTTCTCAGGTCATTCTTCTCTATCCGCAAGGTAGGATAACCTGAGGAGCCAACAAAGCCAAACCAAGAAATATAAATACCCTTATTATGGCATCAGGGTCAACTAGTTCAGTTAGAACCTCAGGACTCAAGTCACAGGAATGAATGAATGTAAGAATCATAAATGGAAAAAGGCACACACACGAACAGGGAGAATTACATATGAAGGCTATACTAAATTTTAAAGAAACACTTTCCCACCTATCCCAAAATCTTAAAATGCAGAATTAAAACAAGAAACACTAAAAATAATATTATATTACCACCACTTCAACTGCTTTTCAGCCAAATGAAACAAGCTTTGATTCATGGAATTTAATGCAATCCCTCATATGGACTGCTTTTCTCTCCAAAGATTTTCTAATACAGTCTCCTAACAAAAAAAAAAACCTTTTCAAATGAAGACATGTTTGTAAAAATATCTTTTCTAAAAAAACATATAATTGATTTAATCATTCTGGCATCCATACAGCCTAGTCATACCACTGTGAGATTCATATTTGTTTTTCGGTTCCCTAATTCCCATCATTCTTAATATGATGACGGCAAAACAAAATTTCTGGCCATCAATTAAAATTCTCATTGCACAAAAAAAAAGTCAGAATAAAAGTTAGTGTTAGCAAGCAGAAATTGGAATGGTATCCCCATTGGAATAGTATTTTGGGGAAGAAAAATCCGTAAAGAATGGGTGGACTTGGACAACGGTCATCAGTGGCTGCTAGAAGAACTACATGAAAGGCTTTGGAAACCTTTATAATGGATGGATTAGGCTGACAAAACCTGATTCCATTGATCAGCACCTTGACCATGATATGTCTAGGTGTGTGTGCATATGTGAGCATTTATGAGTGCATTTATGAGTGTTTAATCCTTCCTGAAGTTCTCTGAGTTTCTTGCATCTGTGGACTGTTGTGTTTTGTTATTTTGGAAAACTCTTGGCTATTTTGTCTTCAAGTATTTTTTCCGCTCCTTTCTTCTTTTATTTATAGACAAATATATTTCCATTGGGTTTTCTTAAAAGCACTATTTGTTTTTATCATACCTAAGAAATGAAGTATATATCTCCTTAAGGTAATGTCTACAAAACAAATAAACTTCTTATTGGTGGTAAATAAAAAAATTTGTCAACAAATAAATGTATTTCCACTGACTTTTTAAAATGCATTTTGCTTTCAGCACATATAATAAATTACTATCTACCTCTTTAAGGTTATATCCACCATCAAGAATTGACTCTAATGAGCAAATCTTGACAGCTAGACATTAAAAGCAATGATGTGTTTCTTATAAATAGTTTGGACTACTCTCACATCTATCATTATATTTCCTGAGGAACTTATGTCTTTCTTTCCTTGGTGGAGATGTTAACTGCTGTTATGATTTCTCTTATATTTCTTTTAAGCTAGAGTGCCACCTCCTTCCCTTTCGTTTTTCTTGCCACATCTTATTAAAGAAACTGCGTCAATTATCCTGGAGAATGTCCAGCAACTGCCTCTTCTAGTGTCATCTAACTTGTTTCCCTATCCCTGTATTTCTTGTAAACTGCAAGATTAGATCCTTACAGCCTTGATTAGATCCAGGTTAACTCTTGGAGGGGGAGGGGAGACAAGAATACTCCATCTGGGAGCACAAAATACTTAGCTGTCCTACTTTTAATGATGCTAAGTTTCAGTAGTGGATTCAGGCGGTGAAACTCTGATCCCTCAAATGGTAAAGTTCCCTACTTCCCTTTGTTCATATAGTTTAAAACACTAACGAACTTTTCCTGAATCAAATATTTTATTAGGGGATGCAAGTATGATTTTCTAATTCTACCATTCCTTCCACATTTATTAGCTGGGATTCTTCTGTAAAAAAACATTTTCCTTCATAAACCAGCACTATCTGGTTACTGTGAAATAGTGCAGGTAGCCAGTTGTCAGAGTAAGGCATAATAATGTCTTAGTTAACTTGGTGCCTTAGTTAACTCCCATAATGACTGATTTTTCTAAAAAGTATCATTACGAACTTGTGGATTTTTACACATTTTTACATTTCACATTTACATCACTTCATCAATCCACTGCAGTCATTATTCTTTCTGATGCTCAATGGTCCCATTTTGGGGAGCTCTTGTCTTTAGTAGCTTCCTGGATTTTTGGCTCAGCAAATGTCCCAGGTTTATCTTACACATTCCCGACCCAGTCCTGGAATCATCCGTTTCTCCAAAGAATCCTGGTACTTCTTAATGAGAAACAGTACTGAAAGACCACAAGAGGGCACTGGGTGAAGAACAGATACTCCTTAATTTTAGTTTACTAGAGAGTAAATGTCAGCCCAGAGGAGATAATAGTTAATTGCCTACAAGAACCTCATTAATCAATGGCACCATTGAGTTGAGCCCTGACTTGTAGTCCACTGTCTATCCTGATGATTGTGTAGTTTCTTATTTGTATGGTGAGTGAGTCCTCATTATGTCTAAATTATACTCTAAGAATGATTATTTTCCCCCAAACATCTACATGTTACAGTATAAAAACTTTCATCAAAATCCTGTTCAAAAAAAGGAAATCAGACCCCATTCTCAACTCTAATGGCATCTAGTTTCCCATCATGATCAGAAGACAATGTAACGTCCTAACCACAGCCCATGAGACCATCAAATAATTCATTAAAATCCAAGTCTCTGCCTTCATAGAGATCAGTGGCTTATTCTATCTAACTACCTGAAAATCCTCCTTCTGAATTTGTATAGAGATGGTTCAGCAGCCCTCTTAATATAATCGATAGAAACCTCCCCAAAACTAATTCTAGCCATTAAACCTAAAATTTTAATACTCCAATTTTGGAATGTTTCATTCAATGCTCTAGAAAGCAAAAGTTAAAGCCTAATTCTGTACATGTTAGATACTATGTACACAGCATGGCACACGTAACTAACCACACAGGACCAAGGAAAGACAGAACATAGACAATTTTAGTAAACCATCTTTAGAATTAAATTAACTCTTACTGGTGATAGGAGTTGCATTGTTGGGTGTGTCGGCTCTCAGATACTGAGTCGTCTGGGTAGATGGCTGAGACAGCCCTTGGGAACTACTGCTGGCACTGATGCTGCAAACAATTTTTAAGAGAGAAATACTTGGCAAGTCAGCTTCAATGAGAAATTTCCTTTTTCCATACATACAAAATGCACGTAGCTATTATAACCAGCTTAAAACCCTAACGGAGATCACAATAATGCATGGACCTCTATCACAAATGTTCCATATTGAAATTTTAATCTGCCTCATAACGTAGAGCTCTATTTTTTCCTTCCTTTCTATCTCCACAACCACCAGGCAGGTTCATCATATCATAGTCATTCACAAATGTGGTATTCCTCAGACACCATAGATAGCAGTCCTGAACCTCACAAAATGTTATGCTAGGGAACCATCTCTTAGGAAAAGAGCTCATGCCACTCAATTAGATTGCTTTTAAGAAAAGGAGCATAAAGACAGGCCTCTTTTAATGATGGTCCAAAATCAAATGGCCTACAGATGATGGAGTATGAAAGCAAATCAAACGTGCCAACGTGCTCAAAGCTTGGGAAGGGACTTCCTACCTGGTTCAAATCTGTTTAATCATATACATTTTGCTTCTTCTACTTCCCCAATCCCACCTTTTTAGAATTTGCAGAACTTACTAGAAATCTCTAGCACGTGAAGCATTCTATTATGCCATATTCTTTAAGTAATGAGGAGACCCAGAAAATGGTAGGCTCAAATAAATGTGAACCCCATACTCAAGATTACTACAGATTAATGTCCTTTTGTCTTGTCAGTGGATGACGACCTTATCCCAGGGTCACCCTTACACACATTTCAATTTCACTGCCTCAGCCCTTGTAGTTTTGCAGCAGTGGAGAAGTGAAGCATAGAAATTCAGCATGAAGAGTGAAATCACAGGCAGGATGTCATCCCCTCAGGAGCAAGGTCTACTTTCCATGCCTCCCTTAGCTATAGAATCGGCAGAGTCCCATAAGAGGCTCCCAAATTTCCTAAATATGAAAATTGTTTAAATCACCACACCCCACAAAATAGTTCTGTATTTTCATAACCTAATGATTAAAAAAACACATAATGATAAAAAGCTGCTACTCAAAAATTGATCTATATAGGTCTACACATATAGTGGGTATGGGACAGTACAGTGAAGAGATGTAGAGCATAACCTTGAAATCAAAACTGCCAGCACCACCATTTATTAACTAGCTGTATGACCTTAGGCAAAATGCTTCTGGAGCCTCAAATTCCTCGTGGATAAAATAACCATAATACTACCTCCTGAAAAGGTTGCTAAAAGGATTACATGAAAAATATAATCCTTTTAGGGCAATGCCCTGCCCTCAAACATACACTTACAAGTTATTATTACTAATTATGCATATTATTACCAATATTATGCATCCTTAATTCCTGGAACCACCAGGCACCTGTTTTTGGAGTTCTGAGTATATACTACTCAAAGACCACGTCGGAAATCAAATCTGTTAAAAGTCCAGGATTCAATAATGGGGAGAGGAGAGAAGCATTATCATCCCCAAAGAGGGGGGAAATAATAGAATACAATTTACTTACCCATAAAATGGGACTAAGAAAACCTACCTCCCAGGATTTTTGTGAGGCTCAAGTTGTATAATATATGTGAAAGTATAATTCAAATATTACCTGCAACCAATGTACAGGTTGAAGAAATATGCACAGACCCCAAATTATTTACTAGTTATTGTGTTTCTCTTCAGCAGCTCAACAGTAGGTGGCACTCTTGTACCACCTCAGAATTCCTGAAAAGCCTGGGCATACAAAGATGTTATGCACTCATCCACATTTAGTGGTCCCTACAGTGAGCACAGCACTAATGTTAAGCGATCAGAACAAACCTTTGAAAGCCCAGGCTTACTGTTATGAGAGAAGCACGGAGCAGTTGGGGCTCGACCCCTGATACCTATTAAATTCAATACATAGCTACATCACATGAGGTAAAAAATGAAATAAAAATGTACACTTGCTAGCACTTAATAGTTTAACGCCAGTCTAAATAAATTATCTCATTTGACTTTCATAAGCAAGTAAGATTAGCTATGAAGACATTAACCTTGCTTTAGCGTTGAAGTTAGAACTTAGGGCAAAGATCATCATTTTCCTTCAGAGTGCTTATTATGATTTATATTTCTCTATTTTTCTGTGTAATTCATTTATTTAATTATTCATTCAAAAACTATTTACTAAGTGTATACTAGATGCTAGATACTGTGCCAGGTGCTGGGGATACAGCAGTGAACATAAGAAACAAAGATCCCTACCCTCATGAAACCTACATTCTAGCAGGGATTTTTGGTTTAATATCTATCTTGCCCAAGCAGACTGTAAACTCCACGAGGGCAGGAAAAGTACCTATTTGTTCACTCCTCCCTTCCCAGCACTTAAGCCAGGGCCTGGCACAAGAGGCCTCAAGTGGGCCCAACTCTTAGTGAGAGCTCAATTAACACTTACTGAATCAATCAATCAATAAACAGAGAAAAACACCCTTCCTTGGAATAGAAAGCTATAAACCACACAGAAGAGTTGCTGCTGACATGAGCTATTGACATATACTGAAAGAGGGAAAGAATTATTGCTCTAACAGAATGGTTTCCTGTCTCTCTCTACTCATTCCTCATTCAACAAATTCTTCATGCAACATTCATTCAGTGATACCTGTTAGACACTGAATAAGGGGAATACAGAAATGAATAACGGGAAATAAAAGGGACCCTGTCACCAGTAATGGCAAGGGTGATGGGGCAATGCAGATAATGGAAAATGAAGATATTGCCAAATAACAAGTTCATGTATCCCACAAAGGAGTGAACTCTCCTATTTGCAAGCTAACAGGGAAAGACTACAGTATAGACAGGGTGCAGATCAATCCCTCTGTGGAAGGACTTTACAAAAGCTCTGCATCTCCAGAATACACTCATCTGGCACAACACAGAGACTGAGAAGATGAGCTTATAGTGTCAGGAGAGGGAAAGTCACACACTTGGGCTCCAACTGCCCCTGGCATGAGCACACCTCAGGCAGTTTTATTCTCTGCCTCTAAATAAGCTCTGTGTATAAGAGGACTCTGGCTCCTGAGTGTCAGGAATGGAAGAACGCTGTACCATCCCTGTGCAAGCAATTCCATGGAGCCGTGGGTCCCATCAAACCTCACAGGGCTGCTGTGAGGGTTAAGAGGATTAATGGATGTAAAAGCACATGGAACAGTGCCTGGCATATAACAAGTGCTTTATACAATTACAGTACTGAGTTATTACAATACAGCTATTACAACAATAATGAGTCCCTCCTGTTGCTCGGCCCTGGTCCTAGAAGTGCAACCCTGAAAAAGTTATTTAATCTCTTCAAGCCTGTTTCTTTATCTTTAAAACAAGGACAGTACCATACCCATAAGTGGCTGTGAGTGTCAAATAAGATAATACATGTAAAGTGCTTGGTACAGTACTGGTAAATAGCACTCAATGAAATGGTAGCCACTGTTAACTCAGTGGCCCCAGCACAGAGGGAAGAAGCAGTGTCCCTTAAATGCTATTAGATTGCTGGATGGGAACTTTCTAGTCACCACTGTTAGCTTGCCTGGCATGTAATAAATAACACTAGTAGAACAGGAAAGAGATGAAGAAGAAATTAGTCCATCACTACCAACACACTGCAACTTTATGAAAAGAAAAATCATAATAATGGCACTTACTATATGCCAGGCTTGTTCTAAGAGTTTACACTTTTATTTCACTAAAACTTCGCAACATGCCTACAAAGTATGTGCCATGATCATCTCTGCTTTAGAGATGAGGAAAACTGAGACATAAAGCAGCTACAAAACTTCCTCTATCTGGGCCTGTAGCACAGACAGAATTCAGAGACGTGCTGGCTCCAGTCCATGCTCTTAACCACTAGGCTGTACTCTGAAAACAAGTGATGATGAAAGCTGCTTCTATTCAGGCAATGTCTGGAAACATCTGCCTGAAAACTAGAGAACTGGAACACCAATTCATGGGTGGTAACAAATTATTTCAGCAGCAAAGGTATAAGCCCCATGGATTCTGAAGTTCTTGCACAACTCTGATCTCTGTGGGTTCAGAGCCCCCCACCCACCCACAAGCAAGCATTCAAGGAGAATGTGTTTATCAAGACAGACTACTAAATGCCATGCCTTCCAGTGACCTCTAACTCTGCCATATCCTCTCTCAGAGTCCCATCAAAATGTTCCTGTTACTTCACTTCCCCCTCAGTACTTTCTCTACAAAACCCGATTGTAAGTAACACAACCATATATACAAAACATACTCTGAAACACCCCACCCGTGAATTTCCCTTCTCACTCTGACCTCCTCCCTCTTCTTCCTCTACTCAGATAAAGAAAGGGTAACAGAGGGGACAGAGAGTAGTTAGGGGCAGGAATTAATCCAACCAGGATCCCCATCCCCTTGTGCTTTTGTTTCTGCCACACATATGCTTACCCGCTGTATGTATGGCACCATGTAGGACTGGGAAGTCAGCAGTAAGATGCACTGCTCCCTAACTGGGAAAAGCTTACATTCCAGCAGGAGAGACAAATACACAAAAACTGATTTTAGAAGGAAAAAGTAAAATAATTGCTACCAGAGAGAGAGACAGAGAAACGGAGAGGGAAGGAGAGAGAGACAAAGAGAGGAGGGAGAAATTGATGGTTGGGAGGCTTAAAAAAGAGTTCATAGAAGAGACGGCAATGGAGTTGAAATGTGAAGAATGGTTTGAACCAGTGGAAAATGCAGGGAGCCCTGTGGGCAAAGGAAAGCATGAACAAAAGTCCTGGAGGGCAAAGTAGGGCAAAAGTGAGGAACAAATAATCATTTAACTGGAGCGTGAAGTAAGGATGAGAGACAAGGCAGGCTCATCTCCAGACTGTAAAGGAGGGTGCCTTGAAAGCCAAGTCACGAAGCTGAGAATGTCTTCAGTCAGCAACTGGGAATCACTGAGGAGGGAAACGAGAACTGTGCACTAGGAAAATAAACCTGTCTATGATTCCATCTTTACCTCTCACCCTATCCTGGCTATAACATCCTCCTGGTCATCTTGACTCACCCAGGCTGGGACGGGCACTTGTTTTATTCCCACACTATAATACACATACCACAATCATCAAATTTACAAACTTTTATAATATGGGTTAATGTCAAAGATTAAATACTTGAAGCCATGAAGTATATCATTATTTTTTTTTATTCCTAGCGCTTAGCATAACATCTAATCCAGTGTATCTCAAAGCCTACACGTTAGACTCATCCAGAAAGCTCTAAGAAAAATACTGACGCTCAAACACCACCCTAGACCAATGACATCAGAATTTCTGGAAGGGGGTACCTAAGTTCTGATTTATTTTAAAAGCTTACCCATGACTCTAATGTGTGACCAGGTTGAGAACTAATGATTTAAATCATAGCAGGTTCTTAATAAATGTTAATAAATTGGATGGATGGATGGATGGATAGAAGGATGGATAGTGATGGAGGGACAAACTACAAGGAAGAAACAGGGCTATTTCAAAAAGGTACTAAGAGTCTAGAAGAGAGTCATGTCAAAGGGGATAGGGAAAAAACTGATCTCTACTACTTCTCCACCAACTAATAAACTAATTTCTGACTTCACAGATTTTTAAAAATAAAATTAGAGAAACACAAAGACAGTATTTTTTCAAGTATTTTTTCCCTTGGCTAGGGAAAGCCTCCCACCCTTCTTCCCCTGCACCACTGTGCACCAGTGGGCATGGGTGTGTGTGGGCTCCCATGTAAATGCAAACAACTGCTTTTATTTTTTTCCTTTCCCAAAATATATACGATACCTGTCATCCAGTTCAATCCTTTTCATACTATGAAGGTGCAAAACAGCTAATATTATTGCTACAAGAAATATTACTGCACAGCAAACCCCTACGCTGATATAAAATACACGTGTAGAAGTGGTTGGAGCTGCATGTACAGGATCATCTGAAATAAAAATGAACAGCACATTAAGCTTTTTAAACAAATATCATCAATTGCTTTGTGACCTAATATACACAATGAGTACCCTGTTCTTTGTAAAAGATTTTCATTTCATGTGTCCATTCTTTGATAAGATCAGTTACCAGTAGCATGTTGATATAAATTCACACAATTTAAAAAGTGTTTTTGTTGTAGTAAAAGAGGGATTTTAAATAGAACTTTTGGCTAATGAGTAAAATTTACAAGTGGTATACATATAATAAAACATCTACAGCAGTGCTGTCCAATAGGGGAATGCTCTATAGGGTGCATTCCAATACAGCAGCCACTGGCCACCTGTGGCTATTAAGCACTTGAAATGTTGCTAGTACAGTGGAGGAACTGAAGTTTTAATTTTATTTCATTTCAATTAATTTAATGTTAAATAGCCACACGTGGCTAGTAATTACCATACTGGACAGCAAGCTCTACAGACCCTTCCTCAACAGTGACACCTGGTACGGAGAGATCAGACATCTTTGTTGCCGATGACCACTAACTCACAGGGGGAGGGATATACAGTAGAGCGACCCACAGGTAAAACAAACAAACCTTTCATCTTTTTCACTTTTGAGAGTAACAGAAATTATTTTGCTTATCTGTTTTTAAAGATAAAAGCAGGAAAACAAGACAATACTCATGAAATAAAATAACAGTCACCTTAATACTATTCAAAAAGAAAGAAAGCCTCAGCAATAGGGGAAATAATTCAAAGACACAGAGACACATGTATATACATACACACAGAAACAACTGAGAAAGAGACACAGAAACAAAGATCCACATGATAAGAGCAAGCAGAATGGAAGACAGAGAAATAGAAACAGAACTGGTGTAACTGGAGATTCATGTAAGTTTTAATGAGTACTCACATCAGAATTCTAGTGAAGAATTTGGATTTTATCCTAAGTGATATGGGAAGTCACTGCAAGGCTTCAACCAAAGGAATGATACACATGATCATACGTGAAAATAAAAGAAACAAAGATGACTCTGCATGCTGTATAAAGAATACTGTGGGGAGGAGCAAAAGCAGAAGCAGGAACAAATCAGGTTACTACAGCAGTCCAAGAAAGAGAGAGCAGTGGCTTGGACAAGAGTGTTATGGTGAAGGTGAGAAGTTCACGGATTGGGAAGCAGAGTCAACAGAGTTTGCTAATGGATTGAACCGGGGTAGAAAGAAAAAGAGGAAGCAAAGCTTTGGCTTAAAGAATTAGATGGATAAGGTACCTTTACAAGCAGAAAAAAGAAGCAGGTTGGGGAAACAGAGAATCAAGAGTTTTGTTTTGTCCAAGAGTACCTAGTACACATCTACATGGAGATGTCAAATTGACAGAAATACAAATGTGGAGCTATGGGGATAGGTCAGGACAAAAGATAAAAGTCATAGCTTTCAAAAACTTAAAAATAAGATTGCTTTCTAAAAGTTAAACTTTGAATCAACAAATAATAAACCAGAACAGATCAATGCAGAGAGACCGAATGGCTTCTAGGGCAGCTAGACTTGACAGCAGCCTGAATGAAGGTATGACTTTCCTTAAGAATGCCACAGGCCGTTCAACCTTGAAGGGGTGGGAAAGGAAGGCCCCAAAGGCTGATGTTGGCAGTATCCATCTCAGCACACTCCAAGGCAGAGGAGAGGGTACCGCTCTGCTGGGCAGGTCCCCAAATGCGCCCCGCCTGACTACCTCCAAATTCCAAGGCTTGTGTATGCACTGTTCCCATTCCCTCACTTTGACATTTCACCTGCCACCACCTAGTCTGAGACCTTCAGGTCTCAGGCGAGATGCCACCCTCCTCAGGAAGCTCACCCTCATTCCCAGAGGAGGTTACTTGCCCCCTCCTCAGGATTTCCAAAGCCCCTTGTGCTGGCCTCATCACAGCCTGCCACAAGATACTGTTGTCACTGGTACTGCAACTCCATTTCCTCTGCTACATTAGAAACCCATGGGGGCTTACAGAGTCTGCTTTGTTCAGTTTAATCCTCTGCCTCAATCATACCACCTGGCACATCATAGCCTCTCAGTAAACGTTAGATGGATGAATACACAGAAAGGGAGGGGAGGAGAGAGGGAGCAACGAAGAGGCAGACAGAGACCAAGGATACGCAATACTGTATTCTGCTTGTCAGAAATAATAACCCTACTAGCATAAAAGAGAGATAAAATCACCAGAATTCTACAAGTAAAGTTGGAGAGCAGCAATATTTTAAAAAATAGTTTTATTTTCTTCTCAAAGACAAATCCAAATGAAATATTTCTAAAAGGCAGACTAATCTCATATTATTTTACCTTCAAAAATGGTCTACTTTGAGACAACCAGATGCTTTGTGCCTCTTGAGGTGATAAAAAAGATAAAATAGGAAGCACATACTACCATCTATGAACTATTCTAGCCAAAAGAGTTAGTTCTCAACCTAACGAAGTACAAAATCTAACTACCAGTTTAGAAGAGAGAAAAACATGTTAAATGACACCACAAAAATGCAGATGTGGAAAATTCTATGAGACAAATGACTCAATTTCTTCAACAAATAAATGACATTGAAGGAAAGGGGGTGGTTTCTGATTAATATAAGATACATGTCAACCAAATACAGTGTGTGTAGGCTTCATTTGGATCCTGATTCAGGGAAGAAACTATACAAAGACAATTTTGAGACAATCAGGTTAATTTGAACATGGACTAGCTATCAGAAGATATTAAGGAGTTAATTTTGTTACATGTGATAAATCAAATACAAGTGAATAGGTGTTGGGTGATTGTGGCTTGTTTTTTTAATGGCCTTTTAAAAAGTTACCTACCCTGAAACATTTATGGGGTGAAATGATATGATGCCTAGGATGTGCTTTAAAGTACTACTCTATCCTTCCCCACCCACGCACCCAACTGAAAAAGGAGGAAGGAATCAACGGTACAGGACTGGCAAATGTTGATCATTACTGAAGCAGGGTGATGGTCACATGGGGGTTCATCAAAACATTCTCTTGACTTCTGCATACTTGAAATTCCCTCCCCCGATTTTGTTTTAGTTTACTTCCATAAAAAGAATCTAGTAACATTTTAAGATACTGCTATTAAATTCAGGAAGAGTAAGAGTTAATAATGTATCCATGTCAGAAAAGGAAAAAGAAGTCTAAGTTATACTACCTTACACAACCATTATCAAAAAATAAAAATCTCCTTCAAGTTTCTGCTCTGTAGGTTTAAACAATGTGGATATTTAAGCCTGTATTTTCACCTGGATGAAACTAGCTGAGGGTTACCCAGGCCATGAATTAGATTTTCTATCCTTCTGTTAAACAGATGAAGATCTTACACATATTTCACGTTCATACTTTAATTATGACCATTTGAAATGATGATATAAATTCTTGCTTATAAAAGTTTTTTAGATCACATGAAATATGTATGAATTTTGCTTTACAAAATTTTCAATATTCTAATAGTTTCATCGGAACATACCAATCTACAAAACATCAGTGAAATAAGCAGCATGGCGTCATTTAATCTTTTGACAAACTGGAAACCACAAAACATCCAAGCTACACAAAACCATGTTCATTTGCAATCCATCATTTTTCATCCCTAATGATGGAAAAAGATAATACAGTAACACTTACAAATAGTTCTGCTAGTGTTTTTGTCCAAGGATGAAGTTTTTACTTCTTCAAGTTCTGAATTAAAAAGGAGATAAAAGATGCTTTAGAAATTCTTTCTTTTCCATGAAAATCCTTAAATACCAAATTATATTTTCTGAATTTTTTCTCACATAGCTTTATGTTCTAACAGAAGTCCCTGAACTAAGTAACAAGGTATTTGTTGCAAGATAATAAACATATAGATAGCTAGTGGGAAGAAGCTGCATAGCGCAGGGAGATCAGATCAGTGCTTTGTGACCACCTAGAGAGGTGGGATAGGGAGGGTGGGAGGGAGATGCAAGAGGGAGGGGATATGGGGATATATGTATACATACAGCTGATTCAGTTTGTTATACATCAGAAACCAACAAAACACTGTAAAGCAATTATACTCCAATAAAGATGTTAAAATATATATATATAATAAATGCTACATTACTATTCTGATAATCATCACTATATTCATCAATCAATAGTCTATGCCTATATTAGCCAATGGGTATTACTTACAGATAGATGCTCAATGAAAAAGGGTTTCTGTGGTCAAGAAGTCTGGGGAAAGCTACATACTATAACCTCTGTGGAGGTTCACAGTGCACATTAGCAGAGTGCAAAGGCTCTGAGGAGTTTGAGAGTAACAAAACCTGTCTGATCCAATAATTTACACCCTCGTAAAGGAACATTTTCTTCCCAGTAACACCCATTAACATATACAGTACATGTATGTTTTCTGTGGCAGACAGTTTTCAAAATGTAGTAAGCTGGAAAATCATATCAATATATTAGGATCACATATTAAAGAGTCATGAATGTAAACCGGATGATTAGAGTGGCCAGAAGTATGACCACCAAATAAAAAGGGTGGTACTATATTAAACTTAAGTCTAAAACAGAATAGAAAATTACATCAACTGTTAATTTTCATGTACATATTAAAGAAAATGGAGAAGGTATGGGATTATTCTGAACATCGGCTAATCATTAACCTTAGTGGGCTCCACAGACCCCATCACACTTGACCAACATTCTGCCTTTAAGCACTAACAGATGAAGCGCCGAGGTACAGGCAGCGCCACCTCCCTAGGGGCCAGGAACCACCTATTCTGCATTCCTCACTGACTGCCTATGCACGCTTAGGTGACCACTCCAGGTCCCAGTCTCCTCATATTATATAACGACTAGGTTGAACTAGTGTCTCTGAAGTCTTCTTTGGCTTTAAAATTACATGAAGGTATAACTGGATATGTAAGAACTGACAAATGTATCAAAACACCAAAGCTAACAAGGGACTAACTTTTCATTTTAAAAATGTCCATTCCGACGACATCGCGCATTCAGGGTGATGTGGCCATAGACTAAAAATGTCCATTCTGGATAAAGAAGTGCTGAAAACACATGTGCATGCACAAACACACACGCACACACACGCCACACACATAATAGAGCACCATTTAGCCATAAAAAATAAGGAAATCCTGCCATTTGCAACAACATGGATAGACTTTGAGGGTCTTATACTAAGTGAAATAAGTCAGACAGAGAAAGGCTATGAGATATTCTATGATCTCACTTATATGTATATAGAATCTAAAGAATCAATTTTTTTTTTTAATCGTAAGAAAAGAGATCAGATTTTTTATTATCAGAGGCAGGAGGGAGGAGGAACTGGAGGAGGTAGTCAAAAGGTACAAACTTCCAGTTATAAGATAAACACTAGGGATATAACGTACAGCACAGTGTACTTTATATGTTATTTAACACAATATGTTAACTGTATGATATATGTGAGAGTTGTTAAGAAAGTAAATCCTAAGAGGTCTCATCACAAGGAAAAAATTTTTTTATTTTTTTGCTCTCTCTTTCTATTGTATCCATATGAAATGATGGATGCTAAGTAAATTTATTGTGATAATCATTTCACAATGTATGTAAATCAAACCATTATGCTGTACACCTTAAACTTATACAGTGATGTATGTTAATTATATCTCAATAAAACTGGGAAAAATATACATGGAGAGTAACTGTTTACTTTATATTTACTCTAATTAAAAGATTAAATTAGAGCTTAAAAATGCCCATTCTAATGCAGTACAGCTTTTTTACTGGCATGTTATCTGGACATTAGCCATTATAACTCATGTGCTGGCCTCAGGCTTTCTCATAACACTCAGCACTAACTTTGACTAGGAAATGTGTTAAGAGACAGTTTGACAAAGAAGCCAAAGAAGCAAGAGCACGGGTTTGCAACCCAGCTCCACCACTTAGCTGTCCGGCCTTGGCAAGTTGGTTGGATTCTCTGAGCCTCAGCTTGCTCCTCAGAAAATGGAGATAATGAGAGAACCTACTGCCTAGGGCTGCTATAAGCATTAAATGGGTTTAATGTGTGTAAAGCACTTGGAACACAGTAAGCACTCAGCAAGTTTAGAGGGGTTTTCTTTAGCTTTTTTTTTTTCCTATCTTAGATACTAACTGGCTCTACCAATGTGACTTTGTAAATTCAGGTCTCTTTAATCTCTCTGGAACTTAAAGTGAGTGGGTTGGACTAGATAACCTTTAAGGAGAATTCTAAAATTCTTTGATCTATGACCTAGCATGCTGAAGCTCTTTCATATCCACTGTAATCTCTTGAGCAACAGATTATTCAAAACCAAAAACTACCAACATGTATTAAGTACCCACATATGGTATTCTAAGTTTCAGGTTATTAGCTTCAATTAATCTAAAATCAACCAACCAACCAACCTCTTGAAACGGGTTATTATGCCATTTTACAGATGAAAAAAACTGAGACTTAGGTTAAGAAACCTGTTCCAATTATCCTGTCAAGAGCAGAGCTGTAATTCTAACGCAGGTCTTTCTGGCCCCAGGGTAATTCTTCTACATAATGGTAATTCATAAAGGAAACATAGTTAACACCCCATTACTCAGGGGTCCCTATCAAAATTACCTGATTGCTTTACCTCTTCAGCCACTAGTGCTATTTCACATTCCTAAAGGAAAACATCCTTAACAAATCTGATGAAAATTTTGAGAAAGCAGAAGTAAGTGGGGCCTGAATGAGATTCCTGGCTACAAGCTATCTAGGTGATTATTTTGGAATTTCATCAGTTAGTGCTCTCTTTTCTCACTTGCAACTATAATCAAGATTTGATCACAAATCTGTAAAAAGATGACAAAATCTATTTTTGACCTTCTCACATCTATATAAAACACATACTTTGGTAAATAAATTCCTTACTTTTGTAGCACATTTTCCTTCGTTTAAAATTTAAGACTGTAAAGTTTTTTGAAGAATTTACTGTCAAGTTGAGCTGCATTAGTATCATAACCTCAGAATCTACTTTGCCAGTACAGGAAAGCTCGACCCGAAACACTGTTTAAAAAAGAAAAAATATTTTAATTTTCTAAAAATCAACATTAATGCCCATTGAATAATTTAGAATTTATTTTTGTTTCAATAAAACTACAAATAATACATTTACATAACATACTAAGCAGAAACTTTCAGAGAACTTATCTATAGACTACAAGCTTTGGACATTAAGTACTTCATTCATTACAGATATAAAAGTTAGCATTAAAGAACAAACCAAGACATAAAGGAAGAGAATTATTTTCAAATTTGCTCATGATTTTTAATATATCAGTTTGTCTCATAAGTTCTCTTATTATAATAAAGCTACAGAATCATAAAGCAAACCCTACTACCTCATCAGTCACAATCAACAGTAATAACAAAAATTACTTGATAAAAAAGGAAAGACAATTCACCACCAAAATGCAATTATGTATTATTCTTAATGAAGAGATTAAAAATAAACCTGTAAATGAAACTGATAAATTCTCAACTATGAATTAAAAAGAAAAAAAAACCTTTCTAAACAGAAACTGGCTTTTAATCAATTAATGTAAGCAAGGGGATAACAGACTTTGGTGCACTTTTTTTTTTTTTTCAATCTTTCAGTTTAAGACTCTTTTTCTACAAATTTAGAATACATCATTCTACCATCTACATCAGCGTATGAACAATATGGGCATTTTTAAATTTCTTTACTGGCCCATAAAAATTAACCAGCCTTCCCATGTTTTCTTAAAGCTTGGATTAATGAATGTCACAAATAACAGTAAGACTGTCAAAAAAGTTCCATAACACTGGGGCTTATACTGTCAAGTTTAAAAATTTTTCGTTTTCTTTAAATCTCACATCTTCAGAAGCCTCTCTCAAAAGGCTGGCTCAAAAGTAGTTATATTGGTGTAAATATGACACTTAAATGATTTACTCAGACATGTCCTGAGTGCCTATCCTGTTCCAGATGTTATGCTAGGCACCCAGGGTAGAGAGCTGAAAAAGACAGCTCCTACCCTCAGGGTGGCACAGGCTAGAGGGAGAAAGAAAGAATTACAAGATAATGTGATCAGTTCAAAACAGTTAAATACAGAAGAGTTAACAAATGGAGGGAGAGGAGGCAGGAAAAGGAGAGTACAGATTTTGAGTCTTGCAGAATATTTAGCATGAATAGAAATTCACAAGCAGGAAAGATGAAAAAATCGTTCCAAATACAGAGACCAGTGCAAAGGCATGGCTCTGAGAACTACATGTAGCATGGCACTGCTGGAACACTGGGGCAAATGCAGCAATAAGGTTTAGACAGGCAGGCAGGGGCAGATGTAAACACAGCACACTGGCTGGGGAGTGTGCAATGTACTCAGCTGACTGGGGCGGGGGCACTGAGGGGCTTGATATCACATGGTCGGAAGTGAGTGTTCGGTGGTTATCAGGGCTGCAGTGTGGGAACTAACAGAAGAGAAACAAGACCAGACAAAGGGACCCAGCTGGGGGCCAAGGAGACAGAGAAGAGCTGAGTGCAGACAGTTCTGGAAGGGTTGGAAAAGAGGAAATGGTTTAAACAGTCCAAATAACCCCTATTTAAAAAAATTACTTTTCGAAGTACTTATGTGTCTGATACCTACGTGTGTGCGTAGAATACTACATTATCAGTAGTTTAACTGTTCTTTGAGAGTACATGGGACACAGTTAAAAACAGTATGTTAAACTCTGTCACTGAGACTCACCTGATAAAGTGCGTGGAACTTCCCCCTGAGCAGAAATGTTGACCTGGGGCATGTCCATAGCCACAAAATTGTCTACTTGGAATCCCAGCTTATATTCAACCTGTAAAATGGAGAAATAAACAAACTGGATCCATCATAACAGAAAAGGCACCAACAGCTTGACCTCACTGATTTAGGTCATTAACTAATGAATGCATGAGCCTTTCATAAGAACAAATAATCTAGCTATTTTTTAAAAAGTCCAAATTGTCAGAAACAGTGCTAGGAATGTTCCTTTTGTTTTAAACAGTTGGAAGAAACCAAGCCAGGGAAGTTGAATATATGCAAAGTAGCTAGAGTGGGAATCCAGCTCAGCTGCGTCTGATTCTAAGACTTTTCCCCACCAGACTGCATTGCCTCTTACATGACCCATTAGATTACTGTCTTGGGGGTGTGTTTATTTTTTTCTTCCAGTTTTATTGAGATATAATTGACATATATCACTATATAAGTTTAAAACGGTTACAGCATAATGGTTTGACTTACATACATGATGAAATGCTTATCACCATAAGTTTAGGGAACATCTATCATCTCATATAGATACAAAATTAAAGAAATAGAAAAAAATTTTTCCTTGTGATAAGAACTCTTAGAATTTACTCTCTTAACAATGTTCATATATAACATACAGCATTGTTAATTCTATTTATAAGGTTGCACATTATATCCCTAGCACTTATTTATCTTATAACTGGAAGTTTGTAGTACCTTTTCATTGCCTTCATCCAATTCCCCCTGCCCACCTCCTCTGGTAACCACAAATCTGATCTCTTTTTCTATGTGTTTGTTTGTATGTTTGTTTTTGAAGTATAAGTGACCTACAACACTATATTAGTTCCATTTATGCAACAGTGATTTTTTTTCTATACATTTCAAAATGATCACCAAAATAAGTCTAGTTACAATACGTCACCACAAAGATATTGTTTAGTTATTGACTATACTCCCCACACTGTAAATTTCATATCCTTGACTCTTATTTTGCAACTGGAAGTCTGCACCTCTTAATCTCCCTCACCTATCTCTTTCGTCCCCCTCTACCCTAACTCCTCTGGTAACCATCTGCTTGTCCTCTGTAGTTATGACTCGGTTTCTGTCTTGTTATGTTTGTGCATTTGTTCCTAGGAATTTTCAATTGGATAAAAATTCAATCCAGTAAGCCACCCTCTGTTTCATGCTCAGAACAGTACCCCCACTCTCCTGTACAATCTGCCATCTAGGATTCAGAAATTCTGCTGAGGACCACAGCCACTGACAGAGAAGCCCTGGAGAGGCAGATAGATATGAAGAGCCAAGGGGCTGAGATGTATAATTTACAGACCATGACTAGTCACCAATGTCTTCTCTATTTGATAAAAGCCAAGCTCTGAGGGCCTGCATGTGACTGGGATGAAGGTCTATTCTACAGACCCACTCACCTCACAAGCAGATTCCAAGGTACAAATTTCTCATAGAATATCTAAGCCACATTCTCTAGTCCAGCTTTCACCACTGAGAAAGTTTATGTTTGGATGCCCATCTAACCTCTGGATCTATTTCTCAAGTGATTCAGAATCAGGAAAGGAAGAGGGGTGACTAGGAAGATGTCCTGGGAACACCAATATTCTCTATCAATACCTGGCCTACACAGGTGGCTCAACAGAACCAATCAGCATCAATCAATAAATATATCCTGTTGCTAGAGAGATGTTCATGAAAGAAAGAGTTCAAAGTGCAAAGCAATAGGTGAAATTCAGAATGGCTGCCACCTTCAAGACCTTCAGTGAGGCCTTATATTTCACACTACTCTTTGTCCTGCCCTTGGGGACTCAATAAGAATGGTACCCCTCTCCCATTCAGTGGTCACAAGGGCTTTTTGGTGGAGGCTGGGACTGGCAGAAGCCAAAGGGCAGTGGGTTAGGAAAACAGTAGTAGAAAAGAGGTCCAAGAAACCGTTCTTCAAGAAACTTAACTAGGAAGAATGTAATCAGGTAATGGTGGGGAGCAGGGCTGGGGGTGGGTGGTGGGGTAGATTTCAAAGCCCTTCTTTCTTCTTTTTTCAATGGAAGATACTCAAACATGTTTATATGCTAATGAAAAAAACCAACAAAAAAAGGACTTAACAAAGAGGAAACAGGGAAAGAGTAATCTTCCAGATTATAAAAGAAAGGATGGACACCTGAGTATTAACTGGGTCAGGAGGTGTTTAAACCATGGATAAGAAGGGCTCAATCCAATGACTGTAACTCCCCCTCTGGGTTTCTCTTTTCACATGCTACTTGAAAGTCCCAGAACGCTGTAGGGAGTATGCAAATATTAAAGTATTGCTTTACAGTTAAGATAGGTATACAAACAATTGTTGAAGGCTGTATTCGGTAAGTGCCACGTTCACAACAAAGGGTATGTTCTTGCTGCTGCACATCAGTGACTTAGTGGCACCTTGGCTAGAAGTGTTCCCTCTCATCTTAGCAGGCCGAAATACCATCACTGCCACCAGGGGGTGAGAGAGAGCTGCAGCCCAGAAAGTCTGGGCCCAGAATGGGCAGGCTTTCCCAGCAACACTCATTGACTAACATTAAGAGAATGCATTGACTATATCCCTATATCCATGCTACCTCTAAACAGGGCAATACATGAAGGGCAAGTGCATGAAAAAAAAATTAAGCACAGTCAGCAAGAACTGGATTAGAACCATGAGACTGTGTGACCATTAGGTAAATTACTAACTTTTCCGAGTTTCAGTTTTTATAAAATGAGGCTAGTATAACCATGTTATGAGGATCAAATAATTAAGATGACACACCTGTCAGTCTGGCACAGGTCCCCTTTAATAAACGCAGACCCCAGTGGCATCAGCAATCATTCCAGAGTAGCTACCCTAGGCCCTGCTGCACTTCTCCGTAAGCACCAGCCTACTGACCCCAGAGATTCTGACACAAGCTTTCCTATGCCCTGCCAAGAATACTGCTGCCCTTCTGTTTTGTCCCCCATCTTGGGAACGCCACTATTCTAAACAGCCTCCCATACTCTCAGCCTCTTCACAAGTGTCTTCCCCACCTTCTCCCCCAGACTGGCTTTCCTAACCCTCAACCCTCAGGGCCTAGACAGTAGGGTCAGCATTCTTTCAGAATCATTAGGTCCTACACACCCCTTCCTCATGCAAAACCCCCTATACTCTGAAGCTCCCAACTTCTACTCATAACGGCTATTTCTCACGCCAACATCATCAGTGACACACAGGGACTCTGCAGAGGCCTGGGCGCTTGGCTCACTCTGTCTCCTGCCATCTTCCTGATGGCTTCAATATTAACATTCAGTATTCCTATGTACTGAAGAATTGCCCCATAACCAAAACAAATGCAAAAATCCCACTCTATCAAAGATCCCATCATAACATCTGATTCCTATAAAACCGGTTCTTTGTCTCCAACACTCTGATTCAACCAACATTTATGAAGCACATTTGTAAGCCAAGGGCTATGCTCATAGTTGGGATGCAATAGCCAGTAAAGCTATTTCCATCCTCTCCAGTCTAGCTAGTGACCTGGTTTCACTTTCCCACAGACTGTGCCCCAAAGAAGACTAGTTACCAACACAGTCGTATTGCCATCAGGACTCTGACCACCTCTCACTCTACTTCTGCTGCCCAGCACTGCTGGGGGAAATCACACCTGGAAGAGAAAGTTGCTACGACAGAAAGATGATCCCCAGCTTCAGGGTAGGCCGTTAATCCTGCTCAGCAATCCCTTCCCCACTCACCCCTCTCTCCTTAGTCTTCTCACTCCAAATCTCACAGGATCCACAGCTTCACCACCTTCTGCCCTCCCCAATTCCCTTCTCTCGGACAATGCTCTTGTCCCCTGCGGCTGGCACACAGGAACCCCCTTTCTGCCTTTCTTTTCAGCTCCAGGTAGATCTGTTTAGAACACTCAATCTTTGCGCACCAGTCCCAAGGAGAGATCTGTTCTCCTCTCCAAATGATAAATCCTTCTCTCCTAGTATACTAGCTCTAGCCCACTTCACCACTGATGGGATTTTGTATCATCAACTCATCTCTCTCACTCTCCTATATCTTCATTTTCTCCCATATGCCCAATTACCTACTAGACATATCTACCTAATAATCTTACAGCTCTCAAATGTGGCAGATTCAAAACCAAGCTTATTATGCTTCCCCACACTTGCTGTCTCCTTTATTCTAGGTCTCAGTTATTGCAAGCAGAGGCACAGCTAGCCAGGGACCAGAACCCCTGGGGCAGCAGATAAAGCCAGCGGCAAACAGGGTCAAAGGCCTTATCTGCAGTGCTGAGGGCGGGAACAAGACTAGCTCTGGAGAGTCTCAGTGCAGCCAGGGGGTGGGGGCGGAGAAGGGCAGGAGGGAGAGAAGTAAGCTTGTGAGTGGAGCTGGGTAGAGTCAGGGGCATGGAGAGAGGTGGTGAATGGGCTGAGTAAGATTTCTGAAAAGCCCAAACCTTTGGCCAAGAGCAGCCTGGAACACTAAGAAGTGTGAAAGCACCATGCCTGTCCTTTGCTTCCTCCCTTTTGGATGCTCTCTGCCTAAACGTGAAAGGCATTCCAAAGCAGTTCTCTTCTCCCTCTGGAACCTTCAGAATATAAAATTTTAAATTGCAGTTTCTGGGGTTAGAAACTGCCAATTATTAAAGGCCAGCTTTTTCCTATTTTGGCATGTATCGCTCTATATCGAATCTCACTTGCCAATGATCCTTTGAAGAAACAGATCTGCTCTAAAGCTAACATTTATAATCTACTGGAACAAAGGAAATCTGAACAGCAGTTGTTTATCAGAAAAAAGAATGAGCCAAAATACTTCAGAAAAGAAACTAGAGAAAATATAAATATTTGAATAAGCTAAGAAATAAACATTTTTGGTAATCTTCCCTTACTTGGAAACAAATGGCAATTGCAAAGAGGCAGCTGCTGAGTAAAGCCACTTCCTTTTGGAACGCAGTACAGATTTAAAGTGAATACACTTGCCTATAGCCAAATAGGCTTTTAATTCCTCTGCAATTACCAGAAGTGCTGCATTTCTCATAGAAACCCCACTCTGCAGGCGATACA